TGCTAGAATTACTGCTCTTATTCTGGCGTGTGCGGCGATATGCAACGTGTATTGCAATCGTCGTTTTCATGTGTAGGCGCCCCAGCATGTGCTTTTATGTTTGTACATGCGTGTATGTGGGGACCTCACATTTTTTATTTGGGGAGGGGTTCTGTGCGTGGTTTTAACTTGCATTTTTCACAATGAAAAATATATATTTTTTTTTACTGAACTTTTTATCACCTATGTGATGATTTTTGGTGACAGGTTCTTTTTATTGATATATCCAGGATGCCTTCCCTATGCTCCACTGGATGTAATGCAGTGCACATCATACTGCATTACATTCTTTCCTGGCCTCAATGGCCGGGAAATCTGTCAACAGGAACCCGAAAGTGACATCAAACTCGCCTGATCTAAACCCATAGAGAATCTGTTTGGTATTGTAAAGGGGAAGATAAGAGACAGCAGATCCAACAATGCAGACAAGTTGAAAGCCACCATCAACACAACCTGAGCTTCCATAACACCTTAGCAGAGCCACAGGCTGATTGCCTCCATGCCATGCCGCATTGATGCAGTAATTCTTGCAAAAGAAGCCCTGACCAAGTTTTGAGTACATACTATACACGGACATAATTTTCAGTAAGCCAAAATTTCTGTATTAAAAAAATCCTTTTTTTCTTATTGGTCTTATGTATATTCTAAGATACTGTATTTTGGGTTTTCACTAGCTGTAAGCCATAATCATCAAAATTAACCACTTGCCCTCTTGAGGATTTACCCCCCCCCCCCCTTCATGACCAGGCCATTTTTTGCATAATGGCACTGCGGTACTTTAACTGACAATTGCACGGTCAAGCAACGCTGCACCCAAATAAAATTTGCGTCTTTTTTTCCCCATGAATTTAGCTTTCTTTTGGTGGTATTTGATCACCTGTTTGGTTTTTTATTTTTTGCGCTATAAGCAAAAAATAATCGACAATTTTGAGACAAAAAAAAAAACAAAAAAGAATATTTTGGAATTTTTGCTATTAAACATGTCCAGTAAAAAAAAAATTAAAAAAAAAGCGGACACTGTACTAATGGCACTGGGCAAAAAGGGGTTACTGTGATGGGCTTTTAAAGGGTTAACTATGTGCTGGGAGTGTTTTACTAGGGGGCGGGTGTGTTCTTCACTATAAGCACACTGATCGGGATGGCAGTACTGTGCACTGCCATCCTGAGCAGTGTGCTTGAGCTGACAGGGAGGAAGATTGTTTGCAAACAAAATCTTCCTCCCCGTCAGAGATGCTCGGTAATCACTGGTTGCTGGTGGGTAATTACTGGCCGCGACCCCGTGATTGACATCCACGGCTGCAAATGGCAGCGCGGGTAGGGCTCTCACGCACCCCCTACCAGGAAATGCAAAATCACGTATATATACGTGATTCTGCACACAGGTGCTGCCCTGTGTGTTTGCATATCTGTGTTTGTTTGTGTGTGTGTGTCTCTCTCAATATCAAATAGTTAGTTTATATAAAATAGAATATAAACTAACTATTTGATGATATTGAGACACACACACACACACACACACACACACACACACACACAGAGAGAGATATGCAAACACACAGGGAGAGAGCGCAAGGCTACTCTACTGAGTTGAAGATCTTGCTGTATGCGGATGACATCCTACTACTGTCATCAACAGAGAAAGGCCTACAAGACAGCCTGGAAGTGCTAGAGAAATACAGTGCCACATGGGCACTACCTGTCAACGCAAAGAAAACAAAAATCAAGGTGTTTCAAAGGAAGAACCTTTACATTAAACAAAAGCACTCTTGATAAATCCCACAGCTATACATACTTTGGCCAAGAAATTAACTAATCAGAAATTTCAAGCCAGCCATAGAGGCCCTGAAAGACAAGGCATGCAGAGGCTTCACGCAATCAGGAGACAGCTCTACCACCTAAAACCACTGGTAAGAGTCTGGCTTAGAATATTTGATAGCGTTATCACCTCAATCATTCTTTATGGCAGTGAAGTTTGGGGTCCTGTCACCTACCCAGATCAATCCAGATGGGACTCCAGCCCCCCAAAAATATTTTATCTGGAATTCTGGAAGCGCCTCCTCAAAGTCCACCGGAGCACTCCCAACAGTGCTTGCCGGTCTGAGCTGGACAGATTACCTTTGCTTCTCACAGTACAGAAGAGGGCACTTTCATACTGGGGCCATCGACATAACAGCAGTCCTAACTCATACCACCATAGGGCCCTATTGACCAATAAGGACCATTCAGAGCCATGTGGCCTGCAACTACTCGAGGAAAGGAGAAATGAAATAGCAAACCAAGAAACTGTTTACCAATTACTGCAAATAAGACTACAAACTGGCCCTGTACTTGGAGGTGCTACAAGAAGCCAAAGACAGACAGACCCTGAGTTGGTACAAACTGAGTGCCCATGGCCTGGAAATCAAATCAGGATGGCACAAACAGACCTACAAGCCCAGAGAGAGTAGACTGTGCCAGCAATATGATCTGGAGAATGAGGACCACTTCCTGTTACAGTGCCCCAGGTACTCATAAATGAGGGACAATCCCGGACTTCACTTCTACTGAACAGAGGAGGAAACTCCAAATTCTACTGGGAGAAGAAGAGCCAATGGTGGAATTAGCTGCACAATATGTGACAGCATGCCACAGACAGAGGGACATGAAAAGAGGACTTCCCCTATCCCCCTTCCCATACAAACTGCTTTGGCAATGCTAAAATGTTATTTGATCCTGCCAATAAAGCTCATTTAAAGAGCGGGGGGGAAAAGAGAGCGGGCGAGAGAGAGAGCGGGCGAGAAAGAGAGCGGCGAGAGAGAGAGCGGTCGAGAAAGAGAGCGGGCGAGAAAGAGAGCGGGGGCGAGAAAGAGAGCGGCGAGAAAGAGAGCGGTCGAGAAAGAGAGCGGGCGAGAAAGAGAGCGGTCGAGAAAGAGAGCGGGCGAGAAAGAGATGCGAGAAAAGAGCGGGCGAGAAAGAGAGCGGGCGAGAAAGAGAGCGGGCGAGAAAGAGAGCGGGCGAGAAAAGAGAGCGGGCGAGAAAGAGAGCGGGCGAGAAAGAAAGAGCGAGAAACAGGGGAGCGGAAAAGAGGGAGACCAAGTGAGCAAAATCAAAAATCGCAGCTCTATGAAAACGCTTTGTTATTTCACCTGAATCGCAAGTGAATCGGACAGCAGCTGCTGACAGAATTCCACTAGAAAAGTGAACAAATTTGCACCGCTTATGTGTGACCCTAGCCTAAAAGATGCAGTGTGTATTTTAATTCAGCTTAATAAAAAAAAAAAAAAAGCACTGATCATGGCATTAAGCATTGCTTGTGATTATTGGGTCATTTCTAAACTGCATCCCATGAGAACATGCACCTATTATTGCTTGCAGGAGATAATCCAAAAGATTTGAAAATTGACTGCTCTGCAAATAGGTACTGATCCTTCACTCTTCCACGAGAAAAGCATCAGTCACAAATTGGAGTATATCCCGATACCAATTTGACATGATCAAGCAAACCTCTTCCTGTCTGTTTTATGGAAAACATCTCTGATCAGTGGCCAGCTATTTGAATATTAATCGCTTCCCATCTGCCCTATAGCAGAAATACTGCTACAGGGTGGCACAGGTGCACAAAATCATGTATATATACGCAATTTTGTATTTAGGGGGCGCGCGAGCCCTACCCACGCCACTATTCACGGCTGCGGCTGTCAATCATCGGGTCCCGGCCAGTGACTACTTGCCGTCGATTTCCTAAGATCTCCGATGGGGAGGAGGACTGTTTTGTTTACTAACAGTTCTCCTCCCTGTCAGCTCAGGCACACTGCTCTGGACAACAGAACAGTGTGATTACAGTGAAGCACACCGACATGGCCCCCTAGTAAAACACTCCCTGCACACAGTTAACCCTTTGATTGCCCCTTATGTTAACCCCTTCCTGCCCAGTGTCATTACATTAGTACAGTGTCAGTATGATTTTTTTTAGCACTGATCACTGTATTGGTGTAACTGGGGATGTCAGTGACACCAAGGTCAGTTCCCCCCAGTGTCAATGTCCACCGCAGCAGTCGCTGATCGCCGCCATTACAAGATAAAAAAAAAATTCCAGTATACATACTGCCATTTGTAAATGCTATAACTTTCACCTAAACTAATTTACATGTATTGGGAATTTATTTTTAGCAACGACATGTAGCATAATACATTTTGGTGTAAATTTATGATGAAATTTGATTTTTGAAATTTTTTTTTCACTGGACATGTTTAATAGCAAAAAGTCAAAAATATTTTTTCTCAAAATTGTTGGTATTTTTTTTGTTTTTTTTCCCCTGTTTTTATAGTTCAAAAAATAAAATATGCACTCGCGATCAAATACCACCAAAAGAAAGCTCAACTCATGAGAAAAAAAAAAGAACGTAAATTTTATTTTGGTGCGATGTTGCATGACCGCAGAATTGTCAGTTACAGTAACAGTGCTGGAACGCAAAAAATGGCCTGGTCAGGAAGGAGGGTACTCAGGAGGGCAAGTGGTTAATGTGCAACTAAAGGCAAAGGTTTTTTTCTTTTTGGATAGAGTAAGGGAGGGTTTAATACCTTTGATTTTGTTTGTCTTTTTAACCATCTGTGTCCATCAGGGAGATTTTCCCTTCACATCCTGTCACATAGCCAAAGCAGGAAGTGAGAACATCTCCTACCAAAGTAAAGGAACCGCAACGTGTCAACAGGGTCAAGAGAATTAATGTCCCCAATTGGAAGATTTCCCCTCTATTACCATTCTGGTGTCAACCCAAAATGTAAGATTTTCTTTTACTTTCACATTTGATGACAGTACACAGGACAAATCGAGAGGGTTGAATCTCCCTAACAGGGAGGCAGACAGCAATAAAAACTGACAGGTGTTCTAATCCCTCTCCTCAAACTCTAGAGTAGGGCAAGTACCTCACAGCTAAGCAACCATTTAAAATTATGTTCTTTTCTGATGAAGCTATATTTACCTTGAACTGTGAACCTCCTCATCAGATTCCATCTCATCTTCTGTTGTGAGAGGAGAGTAATGAACTCCGTTAGTCGGCATCAAGGGTTTCTCTTTTTTTAAAACTGGTGGTAATTCATGATCCTGGTATGGGGCAGGGGAACTTTTCAGCGAGTTTTCAGGAGATGAAATAGCAGTGATTTCCAAAGGTTGATTTATGTTATTTACCTGGAAAATAAGTAATATTTAATGACAGATAATCTAATAGTGTTAATAATTATAAATAAATGATTACCCATATACAAACATCCAAAGCACATTTACCTGTGTTTACAGTTCATCTGTTTTAGCTTTTATCTGGTAATCACTATTCTAAAACACTGACAAAATAAGTTTTTTGTACTCACTGTAAAATAATTTTCATGGAATCCACTGAGGGACACAGGAAGTCTACTACTCTTGGGTTATACTACCACCTAGAGGTGGACTGGACACTTGCAAACAAGAATAAAAAATTGTGGAACAGTCCAAAATAACCCTTCCTACCCCCAAGCATACAAGGGTGGAGTACTTTGAGCACAGATGGGAGAATCCTATTCATCACATATACCTGTCCATAAACATTTTGAGCATCCGTATAGGCAAATATAAAGTCTATGAATTAAAAGTTCAAATTATGCCAACACTATAGAGCAGCCGGTTCCAGACAAGCTAAAAGGGACTCTGTGGGCACAAGAACACAAAGGAACAGCACATCTAATGGAGGTGAAAAGGGTGGAAAAGTAAACTCCTCACAAAGATGCTTGTAGTCATGTCCAGCTGTGCAGTCCCGAGTAATCCCGTTGGGTGTCTCTGCAACCTTGTAATATGCCAGCAGCAGCACAGGTGGATTGCAGCGCTCGTGAAGGCTGAGGATGCTGTGGGTGAAGAGATGACATCCCTCCTGAGCATGCATGCTCCTTCTTTAGGCTATACTGGGGGCCATCTTGGATATGGTTTATATATCCTGGAGCTACGGAATCACTGCCCTCAAGGCACCAACATTAAAGAGACATCAAGAGGACACAAGCCTTATCATTTAAGAGGGCACAAGACAATTTCCACTTTGAAGTGAAAGACAAGATTAGGTAGGAAGGAAAGTCTGGGCTTCAGCACTAACTAGCCCTTATGTAGGAACAGAAAGGACGAAGTGCAAGTTACTCTAGTAAGAAATTACTAAACTGAATGGTTGTTTTAAACTTTTCTTTTTTAGTCTAGTATGCTGCTTTATTGTAATAGTAATCATTGTAACATACCATGATTCTCTTGTATGTATCAGTGCACATGCAAGTTACAGTGCCTCTTTGATCTTGGTGTCCTGGGCAGTGATTCCGTAGCTCCAAATATATATAAACCACATCCAAGATGGCCCCCAGTATGGCCTGAAGAAGGAGCACGCATGCTCAGGAGTGACATCATCTCTTCACCCACAGCATCCTCAGCCCTCACGAGCACAATAGGAGGCGCTGAAATCCACCAGTGCTGCCGCTGGCATATCACCAAGGTATTAGAGACACCCAGCGGGATTAGTCGGGACTGCACAGCGGGACATACATGACTACAAGCATGTATTCTCCTATCTTTGTGAGTTTACTTTTCCATGCATGCGCCGAAGGCGTGCCACTCCCTAACCCAAAAGTGATGTCATCCCTTCACCCACGGCATCCTCAGCCTTCACGAGTGGCATAGGAGGCACTGGAACCCACCAGCACTTCCGATGGCCCATCGCAAAGGTCCCAGAGACACCCTGTGGGATTACCAGGGACTGCACAGCGCAACTTACATAACTACAAGTGTGAATTCTATCTTTGCAAGTGGTTTACTTTTCCACCATTAAAGTGCTTTTTTAACTTGGTACACTTCGATGTGCTGTTCTCCTGTGTTCTTCTACTCCTAAGCATGCCTGTTTTGAATGAAGTCATGACTAAAGCATGATTATTAAAAGCAAAGGGGTGGAACCTGGGTCCCTCAATGCACTCCAAGAAAAGTATTTGATGGGGTAGACAAAAGGCCTATTTTCTCTCGTTCAGGAACAGAGAAAGTCATGTACTGTTGGGACGTCCAAAAAGTCCAACTAGGGGGTGGCCAACAGCGAAGATTATGCAAAACAAGCCCCCCCCCCTCCAAAAAAAAAAAAAAAAAAAGGAACTGCCAGCAGCCACCAGAAGGGCCTCATGTCTGAAAAATGGGCATCAGATTAAGTGTGAACATCTGCCTGGTAAAACTTGGAGAACATGCAAACAAAAAACCAAGTGACACCCTTGAAACTGTACCATAATGGAGAACAGCCCAAGAGGCACTTACAGATCTAGTGGGGGTGTGCCTCTACGGATTGACCTTTGATCCTCACGATCATAAGCTTGAATGGTCTGTCGGAGCCACGTAGAGATGGTGGAACAAGAGGCAGGTGTACTATTATGGGGACCATCACGAATGACAGAATCATTCTTTATGAAAGAAGCAGTGGCTAAACCGCAGCCTAAACTACATCCTGACATGTCCCAAGATGACAAGATGTCAAGTTGCACAGATCTGGAGTGAAACTGGGAAGATGAGACTGCCTTTTAATGGGTTTAATATTAGTTTTAGTTTCAGCATTAACAGACTTTACCCAAGTCTTCTTCCGCTGAGGAAAACAAGTACTCAGGGTACTGCTGGCATGTTTAAGAACATCCCTGAAGTGTTGTCCCTCTCAGGTCATGCGGAGCAGACGTTCTTTGTATGCAGGCTCTCAATTTAGCCAAAAACCCCTCCTTATATTTACTGACAGGAGACTCATACAAGAGATGAGACAGGAGATCAACAACCCATCTATGCTGTAATCTCAAGGCTGCAGGCATAGATTCCAAATGCTCTATGGCCAAAGGATAAACTGCCATATTGATCAGATCCCATGATAGCCTTAGACCAGTTAGTCAGGGTCTTCCAGATTAAGGCCATGGTCAAAGACCGGTTGAAATATAGGGCCTACCAGGTAGAACACAGCCCTAGAAAGGGCTTCCACCTGTTTGTTGGTTGAGTCCCTATAGCAGGTGCATCCTCCACAGGGATGGTAGACGTTTTGTTTAGCTGAGATACTGCATGATCCATAGAGGGACAGCCCATTTTGTAACAAATTCTACCTCAAACTAGCACAAGGCTAGCAGATGCTTCAGAGGAACAAACAGCTTGTCAGGATTATACAGCCTTCCTTAGGGGACTGGAAAACAGTGGGTACACCATAAGAATTGTAGTGGTTTTAAGAGCCCTAAGGAAACTCCAACTGAGGACAGTACTAATAGAGGTCACTTGCTGCTTCACCTGCACCACCATTTGACAGTAATGGCAGGAGACTTCAATTCCTCAAATGCAAGAACTGAAGAGACTCCACATCAAAGTCTTAGCAGCTGAAGGCTCAAAGACCACAGGCAGATCTAACAAATTATGCAGGGGAAGGCGCAGGAGCATACTTACTCATACATACTCTTGAGTCAGCAATGCAGACTATTTGGCTCAAAGTTATACATGACTGCAGTGATATCCTCCACAGATGGCGCAGAGGAGGTTGCCACACCTAACGAAGCCAAAAATTCAGATAATAGCATAGTATCTAGTAGAGGACACAATTCAAGGGTGACAACAGCGTTCAATTATTCAGTGTTAATCACCCTACACAGCTAATCCGCTGGAAATAAAGGGCATAGAGATGCCAACAACAAGGATAGCTCCCAGTAGTCGGCCCAAATGACTCACAAACCGGGAAAGTGCTCCGCGGCTAACTTTTTATCAGTGCATGAAGATCTAGAAAGCAACACATTCAAGAACCCAGTGCTCAAAGGCCTCATTCCAGGCTGGCACTGCAAGGTTGAAGAAAGGCTCATCTTGAAAGCCGCATATAGAGATCAGCCCAGCAGCGGTGCAGCATGTATCTTAATTGAAGAATAAACGGCTAGCAAAAAGATATAGAGAAAAGCTGCTCATCCTCCTAGAACAATAGAACAAAACGGAGGCAAGCTGGGAGTGGGAGGCATTTTCCTGGGCTTGCCTACAACTCTGAGTGTTCAGTCCTCCTGCAGGCAGCAGTTTAACCTGACAGTAGGAGACTTCCTGTGTCCTTCAATGGACAAAAAAAGCATTATGTATTTGAGGTTTACCCCCACTTGCTATCCAGTAAAACCAATGTCAAGGGGACACCAAGTGAAAGACAATCTTGCAAACAAAGCCCCAAATAAACAAAACAGATGTTCTAATCCTTCCCTACTTAATCCAAAACTAACAAAATTATTTTTATGTTGTTTACAGACATAAAAGGCTTTTATTTGGAACAATGTTTTAATACATACTTCGCAATCATATGGAAAAAATTCATTCGGATACACAATTATTTGTTACACAACAAACCTGTAAACTAGAGAATGTTGACTTCTAAACAGTACCCTATTTGAAAGGCTAAGTTCTCTTCTCTTTTTGGGAAAAAAAAAAAAAAAAAAAAAAAACCCCACATTTTTGCAGGAAAAAATGTGCATTTATTATTTTTTTTCAGAGCAGCATCAGTAGATTGTGGGTGCAATGTCAGGCTCCTACAGGCACTGCTTCCAGCTTTCCTGTCCATACCTCTGTACAGATTGTCAATTTGAACGCTGGAAGAAGTGTGAATGGACCACGAGAGCACTCAACACCATGGCTGTTCACTGAGAACTACAAGCCATCTGCCACTGCAGAAGATGGAACTTTTTCTCATGGTTTTCTCATTCACAGATTGCTGTGTGGGTGGAATTGTGCAGATTTTGAAATGTGACAGTGGGAATGGGGAGAGAATCCCCCACCCGCTGACACAGGAGTAGGAGATCAGGGGGCTGGAGCATGTTACATGTTAAACCCTAAATATGGGTGTAACGTATAACATGCTCCAAAAGGTGAACTTAGCCTTTAAAAAGGCACCATAACCAAAACATGTTTATTTAACAATATTTACCATTGAGTTTATACTCATTGGAGATCCTGAAGTATAGCCACTCAGTCCAAGAGATGATGGATGTGATCTACGTTTAGGAGAAACTACCAGGCTGTAGTTTCCTGCAGAGGACCTCTTGCGTCGGCTCCCTTTCTTTCTGCCATCCTGTCCCGGGCCACTCTCCATGCGAATAGTTGCTGTCAATGGACTATGTTTATTCGATGGTGACCTCCCTGAGGAGCTTCCACCGCTAGTTATAGTGAAAATTATTCGCCTCTTGGCCTCTACTTCTGCATCGCTGGCATAAAAGTCCCCATCCCCAGAGGTCTTACTTGGATCTGGAAACCCATGGGGACTATCAGACGTGGGATAGTGAGCAGGTGAGCGCTGAGAGGACTGCTGGTGATGTGAAGGGGTGGAACTTCTAGATCCCCCAGAGTTTGAAAGGGTGCCTGAATTAGAAGAATCATCCATGCAGTCAGTCTCTGATCCATGGCTGTTCAAAACTGGTCCATTAAGAGAGCTTGACCAGGTTGGGTAAAAGAAACCTAAAGTCAACAGAGAAAATAGTTTAAGTTGGGGGGGGGGGAAATAAAGCAAAAAAAAAAAGAACTTTGTACTCCATTTGCCTTTTGTAGTCATGAAAAAAAATGGTTTCTGAAACAGTGTCCTGTCTATAGATTAGCACATAAAGATGCAACTGACTACAGAATATAACATCCTCTCTCAACTAGGTTCCCCCAGAGGTTGCTAAGGGTTCCTTGACCAATTTCTGACTTTCATGTGAGTAATTACGAAACACCAGTGATCTTTTTAGCCATCCATAGAGGGTGTTCCCCAAACTGATCTCAAATGTAAGCAGCTTTCTTCCCAGTTGTCTCACCTGTAATGCGACCCTTTTCAGATATTGGCCATACATTATACAATTTTCTTATTCGATTTCCTTTAGCTTCAGTTATGTAATGCAAGGGCTTGCCTGACTGCATACAAATTAAAAGTGTGTAGGCTTGACCCCATATTATATGGTTTGAGTAAATCTAAATTAAAATTGTACAAGATAATTGAATAATCTATAGCCAGCCTTACTTACCCAGTGACCACTCATATAAAAAGATATCCTTTTCCTTCTGATCACTAATCTAATAAAGCCCATCCACTCTGACCATTAATGGGAGGGAACAGCCTAATTTATCAGGTGTCACTATACTAACTTACTAATAATGGACCACTTCACTTACCACCAATACTATGGGCTATTTTTAGTTGACGATCATAGAAAGTGGGCATTTCTCCACTGACAAATGTGAATAAACACTGTAGTTTTTTTTTTGTCTGGATTTATTTTCTTCCCATTATTATTCATTTATTTTCAACATTATAACTGACTTTTTTTGTATAGAGCAGCCCTGGGTGACTAATACACCACATTCCTTATTCTTATATTGTAATTTACTGTTCCCATGTTAACGTACAGTAAGTTATAACATTATTAGCAGGCATTCCTTGGGACCTGAAAGTTATTTCAAGGGCTCAGCCAAGTTGAAAAGACTGAGAACGGCTGATACACAGGCATATGTATTAAAACCATTTCTTTAATAATTTGGTACTTGTGTACATGCACAATAGTGTGCAACAGTGCCTACTAATTGACTTAACCTTACAAAAAAAAAAAAAAAATGTAATCTTTAACAAGTCATTTTGCACACCTAGTAGATTTTTACAGTTGAAATCACGGGACAATATAAACAAAATGGTTTAAATGGCGCTAATGCGCCATTTAAACTGCCCTTTTATGCAGTGTGTACGACTGTACAGATTGCATTCACCCCCATCTAATTTGTAACAAACTCACACTACAGCACCTAATATGCATTACATCAGTGGAATGCTCATGGACATACACCAAAGTGTTATGGGTGGGGATAGCGCTTAGTAGACAAGTCCATTAAATTTTGAGCCCTTATCTCGTTTTCTGGCTTTTATGGCGTATTGCTGTGCAAGTTTGTAGCAGTAGCTATGTGACAAAGATATTCACAATTTCAGACTAGAAACAAAAATAAGGATTTAGAAAAATTTGCAATCTTGTAAACTGGACACACGTCAATTTTCAGGCAATTTTTAATATCTTTCAAATCACAAACAAAAAAAGGATCTGTATTAATGTAACTTATTAAAAACTTGCTATAGTAACCATGAAATGATTAAAACTGTAGGTGGCGGGTTGCCTTGATCTGTTCGGTTATTTTTGAACTCAAAAGCTTGTAGAAAGTGCTTATGAATGATCTGTAAGGTAAGCAATGAGCTTGTACTACACATCACAATCTAACTGTACGGTCACCAAATTGACCATAAACAATTTTGAATCACAAAAATAATTGAACAGATCAACACAATCTACAAACAAAATTTATGCATTACATTTTTATTAAAAGGCTTCAATTTTGTTATCAAAATTTACTTTGAAAATGACTCAAATAACCGAGAGACTGTTGCCTGTAAGACTGGGATTCAGGATTGGGGAAAAGGACAATAAACTAGCAAAACAGCTTGTGATCTTTTAAAAAAGCAATATACTGCACATTACAATATGAATGTGTAATCTCATTTAGATTTACCGTGCGCTACAATGTGAAAACCAAATCAGATTGATAATAAATTAGAAATAGAAATCTAAAGTGGAATGACAAAAAAAAGTGGAAAAGTCATCAGTCTCACACTGCCTACACACGTTACAATGTGTACAATGTTCTTAAGATTTACCAATAAATACAAAATGCAAAGGGCTACCTAATTAAATATAAATTGAATGGACTGCTGAGGATAGGCACTAGCATTACACAATTTTTGATAAATGTAATAGAAAATGTAGAGATTGTACAGAATATAATCTGTGGCTACCTATGGTAAGTGCTATGCAAAACAAACCGTAAACTTCAAGCTGATAAAGACAGTAACTAGAATTACAGTATATATCTGTATTTATATATCACAATTAGTAAGCAATGAATGGCTGTAAAAAGGGTTTAAACGTTAAAGAATATGCAAACCCTCACCTTGTAAAACTATTCATTTAGCCCTGGTTCACACTGATGCGGTACGGCACATTGTGTGTTGATTCGCACAGGAACTACACCATATTCCTGATCAAATGCGATTTTTTATGTGGTACAAATTGAGCCATACATTTTGCATGGCTCAGACTGCATGGCATCCGCAGCGAAATAGTGCAGGACCCTTTTTTTGTCCACACCAGAATCAGATCGCATAGGTGTTCACACCCATGCTATCTGATTCTGCCCATCATACAGCGTTTTGCAAACCGATTTCAGGGTGTTGTTAACATACACACCCGCAGTGGTTCACGTGAATGGGGTGAGACTAGGATATAGTGATGAAATCGCACGGAAACTGGTGCGCATTCCACACCGCCGCATCAGTGTAGGGCTCCATAAACACTAGTGTTTTTTTAAACTCCTAGAAGCTGTTACTAACTTTTTTCCCCCTGCTCTTAGAAGCTAAATAGTGTTATCCTATGTATCCATGAACACTACTTTAGGCTATTAGCATTTCTTTTGAGCTTCAGCATCTAGGAGCATAAAAAAAAAAATGTTTTGTAGAGTATTTTGGAGCGTTTTTCCAGCAGAAAAAAAAATAATCCTAACAGCTTTTTTTTTTCATTTCTATGTGTACTGTAAAATTGCTAATAAAACGCTATTGCTCCTAAACGCTACTAAAAAAACGATATTACCAGCTTTTTTTCCAGCGTTTTTTGAGGGATTAAAAAAAGCTAGTGTGCATGGAGCCTTACACAGAAATGAAATGTATACATATAAAAACAAGATAAGAAAAAAAAACCAAAAAACTTTCACCCTTATTGATCACAATCTGTTCTCAGCTGCATAAAGAGCTAGGGGAGGAGAAACAGCAGCACACCGGTCTTCCCAGTGAATGGCTGTGCAGGGGGAAGTGTGTCAGGACAAGCCTGATCATTGGAGGAGAGCAAACCAAGTTCCCAGAACAGCTATAGAACTGACCATTCTGTGATTAGTTTTTACTAGGCAAGCAATGTTACTGGCAGGAACACCAGGAATTTCACACAAAGGAAGCAATACAAAGAACACAGGATACTTTTTCATACACATACATGGTACATCAGAAACATCAGAAATATGAAATATTGGGTTTACATGTTCTTTAATATTTTATATTATGAACAAGTGTGAAACTTACCTGAGGTAGCCAGTGGCTTTGAGACAGCAGCATAACTGAAGCTGTTAGATGTAGCACCATATTGATTCTCCATGCTGGAGCTATCTCTGCTATTACAACCTGGACTGGGGCTGTTTCTCTAAAGACAAAGAAAGACGAAATTTAGATATATTAAATACATGCTACTGGACTTTTTCAATTAAAAAAAAAAATCTTATACTAGTCTGGTTTCATCAGAGAAACGAATGTGGTTTTGTAAATATTTTTTATATTAAGGCCATGACTATTAGAAAAAAAAAAAAAAATAAACTTTTGATTTACCAGTACAGGGCAAAAGCTTCTTGGTATCATTAAACCTCGGCTATAGGAAGCTACCCTCTGGTAAAAAAAACAAAAAACACAAAAACCCCTCTATCAATCCCTGCTAGCCTCTGACCTCAGTCTTGCAGCAAGCGAGACATGTGTCCAGTCCCGTAGTGTATATTAGGAAAAAGATTTTATTAGTAAGTCAAAATGGCGTATTTCCCTGACCATACAGTATGGGACATTTTTAAACGATCCACTTAGCAATGGTGGAGTGAGATGAAAGGAGAGCCTTGCAAAAGCTTCAGAAAGCACACAGGGATTCCATGTAACAAAAAGGAAGCAATAGCGGAGGGGTAAATTCTTGTGATATGAACCAAATCCAGACATTGCAGGGAAATATCCTTAGAATGCTATGGAGCAGGACATAAAGAAGGAAGGACAATACAAACAAAACAGAACAGCCAAGGCCGAGAATTGTCCACTGACTAATGGTGCTCATGGCCAGATGTTGGCCAGATGTTGGCTCAGACTGGACTGGAGGGAAAACAGAATATGGCAACAAAATACTTCCTAAGCAAAATACGACTTCTAGGAGCAATGGTGGACTTTGCGCGAAGTTGACATTCTGGCCTTTATTCGGGTAAAGATGACAAAATACGAGGGGCCCCTGTCCCTCAGGACCATGGCTTCAACAGTAATGTCATTAAAGCTGGCAACAAAAAGGCAAGATAAAACATTGGACCTTGAGAAGAGAGATTTGGATTATCCAGAAGGACCCACGGAGCATCTGCCAGGAGTAAGTCAAACATCCACCTGGCCCAATTTGGTACAAAGAGGATCACCAAAATGCTCTTCATCCCGATCCTGCAAAGCAGGAGTGGTAGAAACTGGAAGGGTGGAAAGGGGTGCAGATCAGGAAAATCTGATCCCACAGAAACACCAGAGCATCCACTGGACCTGGTAACACACCTGTCCAATTTGTGCTAGAACATGGGTGCTCAACCTGCGGACCTCCAGCTGTTGTGCAACTACAAGTCCCATGAGACATTGCAAGCTGCTGACAGTTATAAGCATGATTCGCAGAGGCATGATGGGTATTGTAGTTCCGCAACATCTAAAAAAGGGCCACAGGTTGAACGCCCATGTTTTAGAACCTGGACACCAGTAGATCTACATCCTACATCTCCCATCTGTGGAAGAGCGCTTGAAATACTTCCAGATTAAGGGGCCTAACTCCAGTGCACAGGTCGGTTTAAGGCAAGACTGCAGGATCTACCACAGGAAGCACAGAATTACAAATAAAACTTTCCTCAACAGGATTCTGTTAGGCAAACCATCCCCCACCAATGAATGGACTAGCAAGGTCTTGACTGGTTTAGGGAATTTAAGTGACCCCATATTGGACACTTTAGGGTGAGCAAACTCAGGCTTCCCAAACACTAGGCAAGGATGTCCAGCACCAATAGTTGCTGCCATATCATTATTCATTTTGGGTAAAATCTCAGTAATAGGGGATTCATCCTGATCTGATGCCACACAGGGTGAGGGATCCTCTTTAATAGCTACCTCCTAAGGTACTATATCTCACTCAAGGGTAACATCAAAGAAAGATTGAAACTGAAGAAGAAGCTGGAGGGGCACAATAGTAATCTCTACTTACTATGGCCTCAATAACGCCAGAAATTCTGCCCAGGAAATCTGACATAGTGGAAGAAATTTCCTCTCTAGATAGGAAACTGGAGTGGCTGGAAGAACAGTCAAATTATCATAGGAGAGCAGGAAATTATAGCAAAGAGTACTATGACCCAAAACAGAAAAACTACTACCCCTAACAAGACTAAAAATGAGGCCTAAACTAGCAAGTCCATCTAATCCTTTTCCCTTTGCTTATGGCCCCAGAGGGGTACTCACAAAACTCCGAAACAGTACTGGAGGAAGGGGAACACTGTGGTGTCACCTGTAGGTCACAGCAACCCATGTATTGTGATTCAAATCACCTAGGTGCCCATAGTGTAGAGCAGACAAGGAGATTCTGCTGGCTAGAAGTCCAAAGAGGAAGAGGCGGACATGCAAAAGTAGTAAATACCTCAGAAGCTTGGTGGCGCAGCTAGATTGTATGTGCTAGGTTGCATAGGCACGGGTGTACAAAGTGCTCCAGGGGACCTCACACAGGAGCAAAAAGCGCGACTCCTCCAAATTTGAAAAGCAAGAGCAGGTAAACTGATCCCCACCAGGAGTACCAATATTTATTCGGTGGCTTCCCTCCACCCCCAAGGGTGTTATTACTACAAGAACAGCCTGGGTTTTCAATGTTTAGAGGCCTTCTGCCATTACGCGCCATCTATGTTGTAGGAATTTGTCGTCCTCTTTGGGTATACCCCTAGAAAAGGGCTTTTCAGGGACAGGTCTTGCACCAGGCAGACCACAGGTCAAGACCTGTAAAGCACCCTGAGAATACTCCACATTTTGTTCTATCCACTGTGATCTTCAGATCTCCAATAGTGCTCAGGAAATTCTTTTGCCATGTACGAGATGTTTCTGTGCATAAAATACATACATATTAAGCCTAAAAAGTAATGAACTCGGGGAGAACAAATTACCCAAATTCTTTACCATAACTTCCCTTTGAAGTGAATTTTGATTGGATGTTACAAGTTTTACATGGCAATTTACCAAAAATTTCTGAATATGTTCCAAAAGGTTTTGATCTCCTAAAACAAGAAATGTTCAATTTATATAAGCAACTCCATCTCAAAGAAATTTACAGCTACAGATAACAAAATCAGCAACTGTGTGTGTGAAGAATTTGTTGTAATAGATCAGAGACCACTTTATGCAGATGAAACACAGTAGTGCTTTATTTTACTCTATAACACATAGAAAGTTTCAATAAAGATGCACTCTGGTGTTGGGATAGTAAATGAAAAGCTAAACCTAGCGTACATAGGCTTGTAAGATCAGCTGGAGTTAGTTTGCGCATTGTTTGCATAGTTCCTTTACAAGTCTTTGTAAAAGCATTGCAATTTATACTTCAACTACTTAAACCACCTGTTTCACATGTCCTTTACTGAACATGCAGTTTGAAGTTTTCTAAATAAACAAAATCACAGCAGTATTTAAGATGCCCATTTCAAAACTTTGATATTAAAGTTAAATAGTTGGGATATTACATGTAAATAGGCACACCTGCACATCCATTCTGTTTATAGCATGGCAATTTCCACACATTCAAGCAGGGGGTGTCACAGAATATGTGACTGGAAAAGTCATGTAAATGAAAATTATATAGGCAAACCAGCATAACAAGGCTTACACAGATGTCATTCCCAAAATGCTCCTACTTGCTGTAAAATCTTTGGAGGCTATTGAGGGGCACAGGAATTAATAAACTTTTGGATTATGCTGCCAACTGCAAGAGGTTGGGATACTGGCAACCATTCCTTGTATAACCTCTCCTCTACCCAGCATGCCTTAGGTTTTGTAAGAAAGCAATACACAGGGCCCACCAAAAAAAAAAAAAAAGCACACAGACACACACAAAAACCCCAGAGGAAAAAGGACAGGTGTCCTTCAATGGACTTGAAGAAAAAAAAATTTTTGCGGAACGTACAAAGCAGCCCTACTGAGGGAAGGGCAACAGTCACTGACAAAACCAAGAAGGGACTTTAGATCACCTTTAACCCAGGACTTCCATAAGGATCGATACCCGAACTTGAACCAGATAAGGTGATGTTCCCTGCAAACCAGGGGAATCTGCCAACTATGGGAGGTAAGAATTTACCTGATGCTCAGACCAGGAGAGAAGACAGACAGACACTTGAAGATCAGCTAGACTACAAGCAAAAAAGTCCAAACCACATGCTCCCAAACCTTGGAATTCAGGAATGGGAGGTACCAGACCAAAAGTTATGTTTGCCTAGCCATTCTACCCATTTTGCATGAGGCATTCCAGAAAAGCAAGGATCTCAGAGAGCATTAACCCCAGGAAAAGCTAAATAATAAAAAATAATAATAAATAATAATAAAGGACCGATGAGACTGATAACTCAAATAATAAACTTAAAGTCAACTTGACTGACTAATATAGGTAGAGAATGTGCAAAAAGTATACCTATGAGGGTAGACAGGAAAAAATTTATACTAAGAGCCCCAGACTAATGCATGTAAACACCAACAAGCAGAACAAGCAGAAAAACTGACTCACCTGCCACCAGGACAGAGGAACTTTGCCTAACCTGCCTAAACAGAAACACAACATGCTTCTAAGCATCATCTGATCCACCCTGAACCAGGGACGCACCCCCTGTGGTGAAGTGAGGGACAGTGACTTTAGCCAAACTAAGAGCAGAGACCTGATAAGAAACAGATCCAAAGGAAGGGATCTGGAGGAACTTCCTCACAATGCTGCAGATAAGCCACAAAAGGAGATGTACTGCAGTATTTGCAGCAGGATTCCTATGGCTGCTGTCCACTGACAATCTAGGGGAACAAAAAGGTCTTAGAGCAATGGTGTCTTTCCCTCATGCAGGAAATAAGGTGCAGTCAGATGCGCAAATATCTCTCATCCGCAGAGAACACTGGTTTAGGAGAATTAGATGGTAATAAGTCTCATCTCTGAGGGAGACTGCAGTTGAGAGCAGCACTATCAGGGTTGTCTGCAAGGGGAGTCCCATCAAACAGTTGGGGGAAGGGAAGCAGCACTCTACATGAAATCTACATCAAGGACTATGATCGTTATGACTATGCAGATGTTTTGCATTGAGTTTACATTCCCAGATAGCAAAGGTGGTCCCACTGGATTAAAGGGTGCAGACAATCTTCTAGAAGGCATCTGACTGCAAGTGTCCAAGAAGAGATGACCCTCTAAGGAAGGTCATCTAAATGCCTCACAAAGGGGATGCCAAGAAAGGCACTAGAATTGTCAAAAGGTCCAGAACTACAAGAAGCAGCAGGTGTTTCCAAAGGACACCTGGGTCATTGCTAAGGCAGCCTCAAGAGCATGTCAAGAGACCAGGTCCCTCACAGGATAAGTAAATCCAATATTACTTAGATATGTCAACTGCATCCCATGTACATAGAGTGCCCTATGCATTTCAACAGACACCAGTACTACTATATCAGACAGGTTTTGAGGCTTGGAGGGAGCCATCAATACTAAAACTTAGGACGTTTGCTCTAATAGCTCTAAAATGAGGGCCAACCCCTACAGTGAGCCAATTTAGTTATTTGTAAACAAGGATCTAAGCAGGGAATTCAACTATCAGCTGGAACCCAAAAAGCAAAGCTTCTATCCTTTTAGTGGTGTTACTGTTAACATGGATCTCAGGAGCATCCACAGGGGGCGCAGAACACTGGTTTAAAAATCCTTTATAAAAGGGGAATTGTTCTAGCACACTTTCAAGTGGGATCCTAGGAACTATCAGTTTCCAGTACACACGTAGAAATAATTCAAACAGTAGGTGTAGTGGAAACGTCTTTGCAGCTACAGAAGCACTAAAAGATCCAAGGGATAAAGCAATACCCTGCATATCCTCCTCAATTGCAGAAGGCTATGGTGACCCAAAACAGCCTTTCCTGAGATAGACCGTTGGGACTCTGAATAAGCATCAGGAGATACAGGTCCGTATTGTCAGAAGCAGTTGTGGTCAGACAAAGCTTAGAGCATGTCGGCAGACTGCTCCAGGAAAGGGGCGCAAACAGACAAAAAGGCTTCAACTCCCCAACAGAGATAAAGGAACCTCCAACGATCCTTTAAGAGGGGTCTCAAGTTCCAGATTATGGGTGTAGGGACTGAGGATTCTGGATAAAGGCACCCCGAACCAATAGGGTAATATGGGTTGGGGTCATTCATGGCAGCAGGACTGTCCTCTGTGTGTCTTTGGGAAGACATAACGCACTGTGTAGCAGCTGCTAGTGTGCTATTGAGGGGTTTGAATTACTGGAGCTGACCAAGTAATTGTAGGTGGGCAGTGGATCCTTACTACAGATCTAAATGATGCTTCAGAAGTATCACTGAATGAAGCCTTCTGTAAGCTGAAAGGAAAAAAAAAAAAAAAAAAAAAAAGCAGAAAGCACATGCAGCAATCCACCCACTGACATCAGCGGTCCCATCTCTTTGCCTCAACCTCTACCTTTGTAAAACCGGTGGTTGCTGGAAATTTGGAAAGGCACTAAAGTCATGCAATTAGAGAGGTAGCTCTTCCAGTATCTCAGCCTTACTCTCTATGTGAGTCTTCAGGAGGTCAGGTAACACCTAGGGCTGTGTCATGGCACTGGCACCTGTAAAGTGATCTGTCCTGAAAATAAACAGTACACTAAAGTCTGGAAAGCAGCACAATGCAGAGTCAATTCCAGGATTTGGCTATGGCCTACAAAGATAATGCTAAGGAGCTAATGAAATGGATAGCCGCTACTGTAGACACTAGATCAAGCAGTGGTGTAGCAAGGTAACTTGACTGACATAAGAAGGAAAAACATACCAACTGTAGAAAAATCTTAAATAAAAGTCAAAGAAAAAAAAAAACTCCACAAATAAAAAGGATAGCAAAATTAGACTTTCTGGTAGAGCTGAAAGATGTCCAACCTACTAGGACACTAGAAAAAATTTAAGCATGCTGGGTACAGAAGGGGTTATACAGGATCTGACTTAAGATTTTTCTGTTTTCAAGTGTCCCAACCTCCTGTAGGCAGAATTATAACCTAAATGTTCCTAAATTTGTACATCCCTAAATGTAGAAACCACAATGGGCTTTTAGAAAAGGTTATAAATAATACAAAAAAAAAAAATTAAAATTTATGCATGCAAAAACCCAAATTGTGATCTGAAAATGAATCTTCTAAATAAATCTAAAAAGTCACTAAAAATCATCCAGTGTCCCAAAAAATATTTTTCTTATGTAGTGAACTGTCCAAAGATATGCATAGTCATACACAGTTCTTCCTTGTTCCCATTCCCATATTACCTCAAAATAAAGAAATAAACAGTGCATTATCCTTATAACTTAATATGCCTACAAGATACCTCAGTGTACCCATGTGGGAAAATATATAAATAAATCAAAACACTATGTGCTACCAGTACTAAGTGACTGCAAACATGAAAATCTATCACAGCAAAAAAAAGTGAAAGTGAATGCACAAACAAAAAAAACAAAAAACCCAAACACAAGATCTCCAGTCCATCGATGTACCTTACCAAATTGACAAAAGAAACAGTACAAAACATGCTGCAAATCCTCCCTTCAATGGCAAACAAAATGGAAGATTTGAACTTATACACTCAAATAATAATGAAAAAGGTGACTTCAGTGATCCAAAACCTGCCATTCAGTGTACCTTACCAGAGGACAGGTAAACAGGGCTTACACTATACATTTTAGAAAAGGTTACCCATTTCACCATTCTGGCAGCAGAGACTGTTTACTGTAGCCATGGAACTGTTTTCTAGACTAAAGCAAATAATTACCATGCAACTGGGTAAAATCGCTAAAAATGTAATCAACAGCATAAAGCAAGCAGAAAATGTAATTGCAGGATCACCATACCTTTTCTACACGGCTGGGCAAGACAACACTAGCCAGAGGGATACTGACTGGCAATTTATTGGGTTGGACTGTGCTCAGTGGGATACTTATAGGCAAACTGGTGATTGTTTCAGGATTAGAAGGACTACGGTCTCTTGAGAGCTGAAAGAAATGCATTCAAAAGACATAAGATATGCTATTGGAAAAAAACAAAGAAACACAAAAACAGACATTACACTAAAGAACATTTGAAAAATAAACACTTGCTCATCAGAAGATTTATAAATTTTTGCTATAAATCATATCCAATAAAAAAAGTAATTCTTTATAATTTTAGGCCAAAATGTATTTCGCTACGTCTTTCGTACAAAAAAAAAAAGAAAAACAAAATTCCCAATAGGTGTATATTAATTGGTTTGCGTGAAATTTATAGAGGCTACAAATGATCATATATATAGTGGAGTTTTTTTTTTTGGTAATAGTAATGGTAGCAATCAGCGACTTAGAGCAGGACTGTGATAGTGCGGCAGGCATTTTGACACTGACATCACCAGTGACACTAATACAGTGATCAGTGCTAATAAAATGCACTGGCATTGTACTAATCAGGCAGAAAAGGGTTAACATCTGGCGCAATTAGAGAGTTAACCGTGTGCCTAAATATGTGTAATGGGTGAAATATGTACTGTACAAAGACTGGCACATCCCTGCTGTCAGCAAAGAGATCGGTGTTGTTTACCAACACAGATCTCTCTTCTAGTACTTGCTCCGAAGATCGGGACGCACTGATCAGCATGTAAAGGAGCCAGTGACATTGTGGGTACCCCAGAAAAGCATAATTACGTATATATTCTGCGCAGCCGACCCGCTATAAAACTACTGTGCGCAGTCAGAAAACCGGTTAAACACGGAACCTTATTTTCTAAATAATCATCCTAAAGCACACTGCCTACACATACTTTATGGGCATTCAGACATTTAATTTACTTTAGGGGCTTCTAAATTCTGGGTGCACGATGAAGATGAATCAACCAACTTTCATGTTACAAAACCTCCCCCCTATTCATTACTCTATGTAACTGACAGACTGATATCTGTGAATATTAACCTCTAAGACAAAACAAGACACAATGATAATCATTGCTGCTCCTAACATCCACCTTTACCTGAAACCAATTTCTTGCTATGTCTTGTTACACACTTTGTCTTCTAGTAATCATTGCTGCTCTTAGGCTGGCCATACATTAAGCAATTTTCCTGACAGCTCCATGGAAGCATAGCTGGGTGAGGCTCCGCCCACCCAGCTGTGCTGCAATGGAGCCGGTCAGGAAAGGGAAATTATGGTAAGTATCTGTTATTCAATTTTCTTTCTTTCCTTCAACCAAAAGCAAAAAAAAGTCCAATGAAGCATTGTCCAATTTGCTCCAGCAAGAGAAAAACAAATGCTCTTTTGATTAACCAAAAAAAGGCAATCAGATTGTGGTTTAGGTGTTATACAAGGAAATAAAGGTGCATACTAACCATATTTTGCCTGCTACAAGACAAAAATGAAAAACATTTTTCTTTATACAGGTTAAATTACAAGTTATTAAGCCATTAAGATCAACACCTTGTCAGCTCCCCTCTCAACAGTTGCTTGGCCTCCATCAGTGTGATGTGATTCTCGAGGACTTAGCTGGATGCCATTTAAATTACCAGGACTTGTTGACATAAAGCTGTTCTCCTTAACCACCTCACACCTTTAAAAACCAAAAAACACAAATATAATTAAACTCACTGGAAACCTTTTCAATGACAGCAATAGTCTAATAGGCTGTTATTGATTATGGGGTGGGGAGGATTTTGACTTACCTGTAAATTTTGTATCTTTCAGTTCTGTACAGGACACGGGGCAAAGTATTCCTAGACTGTGAGTTATAGGCTCATACCGTCATGGACACTTGCAGGGTTTCCATGACATGCCCCCTGGAGTACCTCACCTATAACCCTACCCAACTCAATGAGTGTTCAGTTATGTAGCAAGCAATGCAGAGTAACCAAAGCATGGAAGGCAGGGTGGTCTGTGTCCTTCACTGTACCCTAAGATTTGGGAAGTTAAAATTCCTCTCACCTTAATTGTACACTACAGGGCACAGGCTGAGTATTCATAGATCCTGGGACGTCTGAAAGCAACGTATGAGAAGGGTGGGCAACAACTAGGCAAACAGAAAAGTGCCAAAAAAACACTGAAGATCCTTTTTAAGATGCACCCATGCACTTTCTGGCGCCTTCAACTATGGGGTTCAGCAAGCTTTTGCGACCGGATTGCTGTAATGTTAGGTACAGTATGTTTCCACTACACCTAACAGCTTTTGTAGTAGTGCATTAAGAACACTCGCACCCAATACCCACTGTATCAGTAATATTTAGTAGCGTCCCTTACAAACCAAATATCTATTAAAGATGTGATCTTGTCTGCAGCTTAAACTACACAATAGCTATGTTATACCAGAGTTCTTAAAACCTGTCCTGGTCCAAGTAGATCTGTTTGTCAGTGTGGTTGTAAATGTACTAGCCAAACTACTAGTGCAATGATAAGACAATACTGACCTGTTGTACAGGTTTCTGGCAATCATACCTTTAAAAGAAACTTGCACTAAATCAACAAGTAGCCTGACAGTGCTGGCCTCTCCTAAAAAAAAAAAAATGCTAGTTGCCTGGTTTCAATAGCCTCTATACTTTTTGCATCACTGAGTAACAAGTATGCAAATGACTTAACTTCACTTGCTGCAGTGCCCTTTCTAAATCAATAATTATACTACTGATGCTAAACACAGCCAGGGAACCAGCACTTGCAAGTGGTAAGCAATGCCACTGGGAACTTCAATAAATGTGTACTTTAAAACCCTTTCAAATGCAGCATCAACTGATTACGGAGTAAAAACATTCATTAGAATATCCCCGTACTGGAACAAAAACATTCTACTTTGGGAATATATGAAAATACTGCAGGATCTGTAAATTTTTGTTTCATATTATTATTATACAGGATTTATATAGCGCCAACGTGTATATATAACAAACCACCCTATAACCAAGCCTAAAGTGTAACTAAAGGCAAACCTTTTCGTTTTGGATAGAGTGGAGAGGGATTAGAACACCTGTCTATTGCTGTTCGTGTCCCCGTTAGAGAGATTTCCCCTATTTGTACGGTTTACTGGTTTCACTAAAAGTGAAAGTAAAAGAAAAAAGTTTGAGTTGACATCAGAACACTAATAGAGGGGATATCTTCCACTGCAGACACTAGTTCTGGTGACACACTGGGATTCTCTCTTTGAGGGATTGCCTCTCACTTCCTGTTTTGGCTATGGGATAGGAAGCAATGGAACGCAGAAGGAAAACAAAGTGATGGGGGTTATGAAACCTCCCTTACTCTATCCAAAATGGAAAGAAAAACAGTTTGGCCTGTATTATTGGCACTGTTTTGTTTCCGTTCTTTATTCAAGTATATAAAATACAGTATCTAAAACAGGGATCTCCAAACTTTCTAAACAAAGGGTCAGCTTACTGTCCTTCAAACTTCAGGGGGGCCGGAATGGCAAGTGGGTGTTAAAAAAGGAAATGACAGGGCTTGTAGTCAGTGGAAGGAGTAATAGTGTCCCATCATTGGTATTGGTTGGAGGAATAGTGCCTAATTGTTTATATTAGTGGGAGGAATTGTGCCCCATCATTGGTATCAGTGTGAGGAAAAATGCCCCATTGTATAGGAAATGGTGCCTCCTTGTTGGTGTGAGTGGGAGGAATAGTACCCCGAGGGTCGGATAGAGGCACGCAAAGGGCGGCATTCGACCCACGGGTTGCAATTTGGAGACTACTGATCTAAACACACCACACTATTATTCCAAAAACACTCTTAAGACTCCTCCTAGAATCTGAAATGAACAAAACATATTAAAAGCTCCAAATATCAAACACTTGTACAGTAAACAAGATATAGTCAGAGATGGCCCTGCATGCATGTGGGGTGTAGTCTAAGTTTAGCTCTAAAATGGTCCCCTGCACACAAAGGTTTTCAAGATCTCAGACTATTATCAGGTATATACCGGTTATGTACTGAGCATTACTATTATTAAAAAAAAAAAAAATCTTGCCTGTAAATTAATATCTTGGAGTGTGTTATAGGTTTGTACCTTCAGGTGACTGGACATTGACAAATTTTAGAGGACACACCATTAGGCACTGGATGCCAGGGAATTATCACTGCATCTGATGCCAGTGCTAATGGATCCTTGGTCCTGGCCAGAAGTAGCTTGTTATTGAGGCTATAACTGGAGGCCAGGATTTTCATCTAACATATTAGGCTGAAAATGTTCCCCATGGTCCAGACAGTGACAGCTAAGGTAACATGTCTTCCAATTGTCCACTCCTTAGATGTGGATAGGAGGGATCTCTGGATAGTGTTTCTCCCTCCATTAAATGATCTGGTTTGTTTCCTTCAAGGATATATGACTCTTGATGCCCCCTTGTCTGATTTCAGCCTGTTTGGGTGCCTTAACAGAATGGGGGCCCAGTGTTGCAGAGCCATCCTCACTGCTCTGAGCTCCAACATGTTGATGGGGAGCTCGGTGTCCACCAATAACCATGTGCCTTGAACTGAGGTACTCCTCCAGAGCCTGAAACACTGGAATTTGTTTTGATTACCTGTCATTGATCTGGAAGGAAAGGCATCCTCGTTGTTAAGGCAAGGCTGGAGATTCACCAAGCTGGGGAATTCCTTGCTTGGCTTGACAGGGGAATGGGTTGGTTGAGAGAAGGAGCTTGCTTGCAAAAATGTTGTGTTGGAGAAATCTTGACTGAAATTGGCCAAAATGAACAGCCTCAAAAGAGGCTGTCATGAGACCAAGAACTCTATTAGAAAATTTCACAGAGGGATGACTCTTTGACCTCAAGTCTCAAAAGTGAGCTCTGAGATAAAGTAGTTTCTTCTATGGAAGGGAAGACTTTTACCTGGAATGTTATCTAGTATCAGACCCAGGTATTCCAGGCAAAGAAAAGGTTGGAGGGTGGAGTTTTGGAAGTTGATCAGCCAATCGAAAGCTTGAAGAATCTCAACTGTCCTGTGGACATTTGCAGATAGCTGGAACAGAGAAGACCACTTCAGAAGAAGGTTGTCTAGATAACCTGTGACCTGGATGCCAAGTTCTTAAGACAAGAGAAGGTTCAAGATCCTTTTTGAATAATATGAAAGCAGTGGATAAGCCAAATGGCAGTGACACAAACTGGAAGGGAGTGTCTCATCCTGCAAATCGTAGAAGGCACTGATAAAATGGATAAATGGGAATATATGGATATAAATCTTGAATGTCTACAAATCTCAGATATTCTGCAGATATCAGGAGAAGCAATAACTGACCCTGCAGATTCAATGCCAATGTTCGGAAATTTGAAGTCATTTGTTGACAGACTTTAGGTCCAGGATAGGATGAATACCCACCAAAGTCCAACAGAGAAAAAAAAAGAAAATCCTCAAACATAAAATGAACTTTATGGTTTTATCAATGGCTGCCTTATAGTCTGTTACTACTGTGTTAGTGTTAAAAGAGCTCGATTATTTTAGAAATGAAAGCAATTATTGAAGGTAACATGCTACATGTAGAATACCTATATAATCGTGTATAACATACAGTACCTCTCCAACTCCTGAAGAAGTACTTATGAAACTCAGCGAGCTCAACCCCATCACCAAGCACAAACATCCGATGGCCGCACATCCAGTAAAATCACCTTCATTTCTTATTATAGCATATTCCACAAATATGACAGGGAAACAGGACTCCAGCTAATGTGTTTCACGCTCCACTAGCACTTAGTCACAGGTCAAGCAACAGTGATAGTCTATCTTTTAGATTTTGGAATACTATGATGATGTTGAGATGATGGAGGGATGTATAATATATTCCAGAACTGTGTCATCCTTTTATTTTTTGTGGATTTATAAGTTTTAACATGCTTCTAATGAAACTTGCATTTCATTAACATGTTTGACCTCTACTCAGTACCTGAAAAATCCTCAAAATTTTACTTTTTTGTATGTTTAACATACAAGGAATGATGGTATTTCCCCACTAAGGGACAAAACACACCCTTTTTTTCCCAGAAAGTTAAGATACATTCAAACAGTTTGATTATCAAAGAGTAAAGCACCTTCTGCTTAGGATTAGGACAAAGATGGCAACACAATGTCCTGATTTAGGTGGGCAAAAAAAAAAAAAAAACACACACCTTAGGCAAGAGGGTCAGGGCCTCAACACCACCTTAGCCTGGTGAAGAACCAGGAAAATGCAGCCAACTCTGAGATCTTGAAAGCTTAAGAAGTGGAAACTAACTTAGCTCTTAAGGAGCGACAAGAGTCTCTCAGGGAGATTCAAAAGGAGAAGTCTGCAATGCAGACTAGACCAATTTAAGGTCGCAGGGAAACAAGGGGTGTCACAAAGGCAGAACAATCTGTAGGACACACTGCTGACAGGATTTTATGTAAGAATGAGATGCAATAGGTCTTTGAAATAGAATGACCAACGACAAGATTTGTCCCTTGACAGTGCTTAAAGTGTTTTTATTTTTTAAAGAAAAAAACTAAACATAGAGCAGCCTGATCCTCCTCTTCTTGGGTCCTCCCTCCTGTTGGGTGCCCCCAAAGCAAGCAGAGCTTACTATGGGGCACTCACTGCTCCATTCACATATGGATCAGCAGCTCGGCCCT